TTGTCAATTGCTTGTCTTCTGAAGTTCAAGTTATTTCAGATGGATGTGAAAAGTGCCTTTTTAAATGGGTACTTAAATGAGGAAGCTTATGTGGAACAACCTAAAGGCTTTGTGGATCCAAACCACTCTGATCATGTCTACAAATTGAGAAAAGCTCTATATGGCCTGAAACAAGCTCCTAGAGCATGGTATGACAGGTTAACAAAGTTTCTCTCAGACAAAGGATACAGAAAAGGAGGCTTGGACAAAACTCTCTTTGTCAAAACTAAAGGAGGGAAGTTGATGGTTGCCCAAATATATGTTGATGACATAGTGTTTAGAGGAATGTCAGAACCTATGGTTAAACATTTTGCTGACCAGATGCAGGCTGAATTTGAAATGAGTCTCATGGGAGAACTAACTTATTTTCTTGGACTACAAGTCTCACAGATGGAGGACTCAATCTTCCTATCTCAAAGCAAGTATGCTAAGAACATTGTAAAGAAGTTTGGTATGGAGAATGCCAGTCACAAAAGGACTCCTGCTCCTACTCATTTAAAGCTTTCCAAAGACTCAAGTGGGGTTAAGGTGGATCAAAGTCTGTACAGAAGCATGATAGGAAGCTTGTTGTACTTAACAGCCAGCAGACCTGATATTGCTTTTGCAGTTGGAGTCTGTGCAAGATACCAAGCTGATCCTAAAGTCAGTCATATCAATCAAGTGAAGAGAATTTTGAAGTATGTGAGTGGAACTTACAACTATGGGTTGCTGTATTCTCATGGCTGTGAACCAGCTCTGACTGGCTACTGTGATGCTGATTGGGCTGGTAGTGCCGATGATAGAAAAAGCACCTCTGGAGGATGTTTCTTCTTGGGAAATAATCTGGTTTCCTGGTTCAGCAAGAAACAGAATTGTGTGTCTCTTTCTACTGCTGAAGCTGAATACATTGCAGCTGGTAGTACCTGTTCTCAAATGATCTGGATGAAACAGATGCTTACTGAGTATAATGTCACACAAGATGTTATGACATTGTACTGTGACAATCTGAGTACAATCAACATTTCCAAGAATCCCATTCAGCATAGTAGGACCAAACATATTGACATACGACATCACTTTATCAGAGACCTTGTAGAAGAGAAGACAATCAAATTGGAACATGTTGCCACTGAGCTACAGCTGGCAGACATTTTTACCAAGGCTCTTGATGCAAATCAATTTGAAAACTTGAGGGGTAAGTTGGGTATTTGCCAACATGAGGAATTGTAGCAATTAATTTTGCTTAAAACAAGGGTTAAAGGAGTTATGCTTGTTCTGATTGGGTTTAAATTATATTTTCCCATTTCCTTCAATTCTTTTAAGAAGTTGAATAGACACTCATTTTCTTCCTTCCCCTCTCGTCTCCTCATCAAAACCCAGTCTCTCAATCAGAATTTTCTCTTCAGTTGCTGTTGGTCCTCTAAGACTGTCAAAATGCCTCAAACACCATCATCATCCAATACGACGATTTCAACCTCTTCCTCTGATCAAGATTCTAGGACAATCTCTTCTTGTCAGGACTCTGAAGTCCTGGAGATCTCTTCTCTTAGAAAAGTGGAATCTAACCCCACCAAGGTCAAAGAGCTGAGAACAAGACATGCAGGAAGGTCACAAGCTTCTGCCTCTGGTAATTCATCTCATCCTTCTTCTTCAGTTCCCCCTGAAATTGCAAATAGGGAAGGGTCAGCCTATGTGCGTCAAGCAATAGCTAAAATTGTTTCAAGAATTCTGAACGAGAACCACTTAGTTCCTGGCATTTCTGTTCCTTTAAATTAAGAAAGTTCAAATGCCGAATCAAGTCCAGATGTCTCTAAGGATGTTGAGACATCAGACAAAGAGAAGAATTCTGACATTACTCTCAAGAAAAGGAAGAAGCCCGAATCCTCTGAGTCTGATGACAGTGCTTAAAGTTTGGTGGAGTTGCTGCTGGTCCCTGGTGGAGTTTGGAAGTGTGTTCAGTTTTTAGTTGCTGCTCTTATTACTTTTTCCTAGATGACTGTATAATTTTTATGAACATGTATCTTTAGCCCATTTGTGGCTAAAGAGGGGGAGATATATTGTGATACTTTATTTGACATTCCATTTTTCTGCAGTCATTTTTATTCTGCTGCTATCTATCTCTGATTGCTTAGGGGCTTTAGCCAAAAATCTGCCAAAGGGGGAGTTTGTAGTTGTTTAGGTATTGGCATGCATTTTTGGCAAAACCAGGTGTATGAATGTCATGACAGATGTCATAACATTCTAGTTTATTAGGTACAGATTTGTTAGGTACCTTTGCAGAAAAATATTGTCATACAGGTACTGTTGTTTATGAGTGTGTATCTGAGCATTTTGCAAAATGATCACATTTACCAAAATCAGTAAACAGGAATTCAGATGTCATAACAAATGTTAAGACATCCTGTTCTGAACTAACAGGTTTGCAGTTTGGTTAATTCTGAGTTTTTTCAGGAAAATGACTCAGTCTTTCCAGAACAGAATCCTGCGTTTTCTTTGGGTTAACCTAGCTCAACCCTAACCTGGTTGATAAAGTCTTGTGACCTAGTCTTAAGGTCAAATGGAATTAACCCTAGCTTTTTGGGGAAACCCTAACTGAAGATGCAGCTGCTATATATTCCACAGAGCTGCTGTTTTTAAGGCAATCCCTTTTTTGACAGAAGATCATTTAAAAGCTGTATAGTTTTAACTATTGTAATCCAAGCAATTATCATTGTGATAAGTGACTTGGAATAGGTTTTTAATTGTAAGGGTTGTGTAGCACTCAAAGCTTTGAAGCAAGAGTGTTTGTATGTCTCTTGACTAAAGTTGTAAAGCAGAGTCAAGTTAGGTGTGTGTATCACTCAAAGCCGTGAAGCAAGAGTGTTTGTGTTGCTTGATTAAAAAGATGTGAAGCTTAATCAAGTGTATGTTTTTGAAGAGTGTCTTCATCAATTCTTTAGTCAAATTGTTTTATGTATCACTGCTGTGATTGAGGGGGAGTGAGTGGGAACTCAGGTTTAAGTTGTACTTAGATTGAAGTTGCATTGGGTAGGTCTTAAGTGAAGGAGATAAACTGGTTGGTTTATTCCTGAATTAACATCTCTTATAGTGGATTTCCTCCCTGGCTTGGTAGCCCCCAGAGTAGGTGTTGTTGCACACTGAACTGGGTAAACAATTGACTGTGTTCTTTACTGTTTTTGTATTTACTGTCTTATAGAAAGTCAGATACGGTGTCACAACATTGAACGTGACATTGAGTATCTGCAGCCAGAATTTCATAATATATTTAACACATTTCATCTAATTAATTAGTTTTAACTAAATCATATTATGTTATATTATGTAGTACTTTGATGAATACAAGTCTTCTACTTATTTGAAAGATCAATTGGACGAAATTAAGGAGGATTAGTGTCAATACATTATTGAGATGAGAATTTTATAAGGTATTGTGATACTTTCATTGATGAGAATTTTGAGTATATATAAGTTTGAATTTTGAGTATATGTAAGTTTGAATATTGATGAGAATTTTATAAGGAGTTTTGAATTTTGAATATATATATATATATATATATATATATATATATATATATATATATATATATATATATATATATATATATATATATATATATATATATATATATATATATATATATATATATATATATATATATATATATATATATATATATATATATATCATAACCAAGCTATATATCTAAAGGCACGACCTATACCATGAAGTAGGCTTTTTTTTGGATTGAAGCTGCAAATTTATGAAATTTGGTGCAAATATGAAATACAGTGCTTAAATTTTAAGTGATTATTTGTACAGGGCGCTTAAAATATAAGCTGAATATATTAAAAAATTCGTGAATATTAGACAACGCTTTAAACAAAAAAGTGTTGCCTATATTGGAGAATAGAAAGTGCTTGTGAAATAAAAAGCGCTGCCTAAAAGGGACTTTAGAAAGCGCTTTTAAATAAAGCGCTGCCTAAAACAGAAAAGAAAAGTGAAAAAAATACATTACACAACGCTTTTAAAAGCGCTGTCTAAAGTGAAAGCGCTGCTATAGGCACACTTTAGAAAGCGCTTCTAATGTAAAAAGTGTTGCCTATAGGGGCTTTAGAAAGCGCTTATTAAATAAAGCATTGTCTAAAGGCTACATTAAGTAGCGTTGTCTTTACTTATAGCAGTGCAGGATTAGGCAACGCTTATAAGTGTTGTCTATGACAAAAAAAAACGTTGTTTATTTCCTTATGTGGCGTAGTGCGTGGAGTGCGGTTCAAAGCATGGGCACATCTAGCCGACTTCATGCCTTGTCCATATGATTATGATTCAAAGTATAGTCTAATCTAGCTGATCACATGCATCATAATTATTAATCCAACAGAGGGCCATATCCACCCGGACTAGCATCTTATTAACAAAATGTGTACATCTTAATGCGACATGCTCATGAATAAAATAGTCAAACATGGTTTTGTGAAGAACTTAAGATTATTTACACTTTAAGAAAATATTTTTATTGCGCTTTATATCAGACAAACTCTACAAACTATAGGGCTCAAAATCAAACCCCGACGCTCTTCGCTCTCAAACGATTGAAAATTACAATTAAAAGAAGCACAATATGAAACTGAAAGCACAAGCATGCAAAAGGTATTTATGCAAATATATATCGTTTACCGGCCAAAAATCCTGACAAAATCTTGCAGGAACAAAATAAGGGTAAAAGAGAAAGGGAACAAAAATATCGTCAAACATCTACTCCCGAATCCGACACGCCTGGATCACCCTCGGCGTCTTCTCCGGGAATGGCTCATAAAGGATCCAGTTGGTTTGCAGTGAAGGAAATTCCAGGACCGAGTCCTCGCGCATACACCAACATTTGATCTCATACCCGATACACGAACTTCATAGCCTGCTGAAGAGACTCCCGAGATTTCTATCATGCAGCAACTGATTCTTCCTTAAGGCCTTTCATAACTTTGGCTTAATCATCCTTCTTCTGCATAATAGTTGTTTGGTCTACTTCTAACTCATAGTACGCCTTAGCCGTAGTTTCAGAAGTCTTTTTCCAACGTTTCTCTCCCTCGACAAGAGAAGCCTTCAACTCCGCTATCTGAGCATACAAAGTCGACAGAAATATGTATCGATCCACCTTCTTTTGTAGAGAATCATTAATCTTGGCCTTTATCCGCAACTCAGCCAATTCCTTCTCAACCTGGGAATTCTCCCGCTCAAGGGTCTCGCACTTCCCCTTCAATTCATCTCACTCCCTGACAAGGTCACCAGAACCTAACACATCATTATAGCCAGTAGCTACCATCGAAACCAAGGATTCTGCCCAGAACAAGGTACGGAGGCATCCGCAAAAAAACCTGCTTATCAGTCGTAGATAGGTTCTGGACGAAAGCTAGGTCCTCAATGACAACAACAGCAACAAACTTCTTCTAGGTGTTAGGTATTCGAGATGGAAGAATAGAAGGAATCCAGAAAAAAGGAGTAAGAGTCTGCGACTCAGCGTCCTTCGACAAATGAGCACGTCTAGGAGTTGTAACACCCTGATTTTTATTATTTTATTTTTAATTGAGTTTAGGAGTGTTTTTTACTTATTTAATTGTTTTATTTAAGTTTTTGATTTTTGAGTAGAATTTTATTATATTTTAATTAGTGTGGAAGTGAGGAATGGTGGTTAATATTATAACAAGAATTTAATTATATTTTTTTATAATTTAAATAATAGAGAAAGGTGAGAAACTGAGTTTTGGGCATTAGAAAATATTTTTAATTAAATTAGGGAGGTGGGTGGAATTAGTGAAAGGTGAAGGAAGTTGTAGAATTAATTAAACTAAAAATAAAAATAGGGTTTTTATTTAAATAGAGAAGGGAAAGGAGAAGTTGTTAGCACGTAAAATTTTGGAAAAAAGACTAAAGAGAGAAATAGGCAAAATCCTAGGAGAGTTTTTAAAGGAGAAGAGAAATTTCATTGTTGTAACTTCAAGTTTTATGCGAATTTGAGGTAAAGGGAGAATTATTCATGATACAGGTGTTTAGACGCAGGGTCGTCTCAATTATTTGGATGCCCTAGATTGGTTAACCATAATTTAATTATGATGAAATAAATAGAGAACCTATATACTCGCAATTTAACCTAACAAATATTTTATGAGATCCTTTAGTTTAACCTCGGAAAATTTAAAGTCATATGCAGTAGCCCGTGTTGCAAGTCTTCAAAGATGGTCATGTTTAGACCTGAAAGATAGAGATGATCTCTTAACTAAGAATAAGACATGTCACTAATCTTCTTAATTTACCCTTTATAATATAATTATTTTACACTACAAAATACCCTTAATTATAATTGACTAAATCAAATTACATTATCCAATAAAAACCCAGCATAATTATTTTAGATTACTAGATTTGAAATTGTAGATTTGTTAATTTTTAAAACTGACAAGAAATGGATAACGAAGCGAACTCGCAATAGATCAGAGTTGGAGCCTTGCACATATTTTGTTCCAGTGGATGAGCGCATGATAGTAATTGATGCAAATGAAAACCTGGTTTGTTTCAAAATTCTCACACGCGTTATTTTTTCCCATTGACCCATTATTGTTACTGTTTAGGATGTGGAATGATAGCTCCCTCATTCATACCGTATTGGCGATGCAAATGGTAAGAGGATGCTTGCTCATTCTCTTCGAACTGTTATAATCTGCCAATAATTTACCATGAAGTTCCTGCTTCATTTCATTCCACGTTGTTTTGAAAAATCTGTTAAATCAAATTGTCAATTTTGTGTGCTCTTTCATATTTTTTTTGTAATTGAAGATTGGATCAGAATCCTGAAGCTTAAAATGTGATTTTGCGTGTTGTAGGATTAATTTAACATCGTTTTGTATTTGTAAGATAACATCGTTTCTTATTATCTTTGTGTAGCTACCCACTTTTCTTTCAATTTGATTTATGACTTCAATATTAAATATACTAACATCTCTTTATTCTATAGATATTTCAACTTTTCATCTGTGAGCGCTTGTGAGAGTATATGATAAATATATAATTATATATATGATATCTTGTCTTTATTATATCTCAAATCGTATATTTTAGTATTGGTTTCTATAAACATGATTTTAGTAACAATTCATAAATGTTTGATGTGAATAAGAGGCTCTATGTTGCATCCCGTCAGGCATAACTTATTTAAATGAATATGACTCTTTTTTTTAGATAATGTATGACTCCAAGTTATGTTTCGACTATAAAGTATCAATCCCACTAAAACTCACTATCTGACTATCACCACAATACTTTTTTTTAATTAATAAAATATTTATATATATTTATAATTATTAATAATATTTGTAAATATTTATAGTTATTAGACATATTAAATTTATAATGTTAATTATTTTATTATAACAATTATTTCATTAAATAATTAATATATTTGATCTATAATACATACCATACATATCAGGTCTCATGCAGCACTTATTTAATAATCGGTAGAAGATGAATAACGGCACTGTAATTTTACTTTGTTACACTTTCAGTTTCTTTGAATCATAATGGCCCCATCAAATGTAATTTTTCTTATTTACTACTTCCTCTTTCGTTAATTATTATAAGAATCTTTTGAAATATTTACTTCCTCTTTCGTTAATTATTATAAGAATCTTTTGAAATATTTGTTTGCCTTTTAATCGAGACTGTCTACAAAATTTTAGATTAACTAGATCCATTTGTCTTAATATACATAAAATGTATTATAGAATCTTACAAATAGATTCCAATGAATAATAAATTTAGACAAATTCGGTGTTGATCAATATTTCCCTATAGAAGAAAAAATGAGCTTCAAAATTCGTTCTGGTAGCACACTACTATTTAAAAAAATTGAAGAAAAACTCAAGATTAGTATCCGCCTGAAACTATCTATTACTATAATTAAACGACACCCTGCATCCTTAAAAAATGATTGTGTCCAGTATAAATTTTTGAAAGTTGAAGAGGGTGTTCAATATGTATTCTGAGGCTAGAACTCAGTTCCATCAAGTTGTACTTTTTTTTGGTAGTGAAGAAAATGAAGAACCGTACCTCAAATTAAGGGTTTTTTTGGAAGATACATTTTTTGACAGAGAGCAAATACCGCATGATAATTAACAAACCAAAAGAATCTTATTAACTACGGAGTATTAAGGAGTAAAAAACTGAATAAATTACAAGGAACTAAAAGTATAATTTCATTTGATTGCAAAACATTACAGCATATGATAACTAACAAACCAATATGGATCTTATAAAAAGATAAAGGACTAACACATTGAATAAAATATAAGGAACTGAATGTATCCTTTTTCATTTGATAGCATTACATCTAGTCAAGAGTAGCAAAAGAGACTCAGAAATTGTTGGCAAACACCATTACTCTTTACAATATAGTCAACATTACAGAAAAGTAAGACAGTGTTGGCAAATGATATTCAGAAACTTTCATACGGTGGTAAAAGGGCATCAAGCACAATCACCATATCTAATCTTTACAAAAAGTCTGGTAGAGAAATTGCTATTCTTCCAATAAATATCAGATACTAGACATTATGTGTTCTGTTGGCTTGTGGATTTTGAATGGCAGAACGTGATTTCAGGGGTGTCAATGGTGAAGTTTCACCAGGTTTCACACTTTCACCTCCAGGTGGCAAACACCTTTTAGAGAAAAATGCAGCAATACTTCTTGGTCCACCACTGCTCTTTTCTGCAAGTTCAACCACGCATTCTCATTTTTAATATAGAAAAGAAAACTAAATCATAAAATGGGTTAAATTCTTAAAAGTCAATATCATACCAGGTTTAACTGAGAAACCGAGCTTAACCAATACTTCTTTCTTCACCTAAACAAATATAAAAGCATAAACTCAGCATTAGTACAAAACTCAATCATACAGAATAAAGTAGTTTTAGCATGTGATCACAGCATAATTGGTTATTCCTAAATTCAACCAAAACAGCATTGATTGTTTTCACAAAAGTTCCAAATATCAGCATATGGAACACAAATTCAACATAAGCTAACATCTAAACTACCTCACAAATCAAAAATAAAGAAATGAGACAGTACAATATATCCATCAATATAAATCAGCAGGAGGCATTTAGGCGGAAGAAAAGCAAAGCAATTAGTGCAAGGAATTGGGATCTGTGGCTAAATAAGAACCAACAATTCCTTTGTTGACTTTATAGGTCAAACTTAAGTCATTTCTCATGTAGCCCACTTAGGGACCAATTCAGGTTAAGTTCATATGAACTCCAACAGCTAAATCTTTCAGTGAGCAGATCTATTACAACATCCAGGGTCACAACCAACTACATCTGCAAAATGTTTTAAGGGATTGATACAGCAACCATACCATTGGGTGCCTGGCAATTATTAGTCCCTTGACATTTGTATCTGGCTACCAACTTTTAATGATTTGCATTATAAAAATTAGCAGTAAGATTGTGGGTTCTCCACCCGCACAAACCTGCCAACGGTTATCAACATAGTCTGATATTTCTCGTACTTTATTCCTTAGTGATGACTTTGATGCAGAAGGTAATTTCTGTTGCAAAGACCCTAACAGTTTATTTATGCCCTGAGAACAACTCTGAATAGTAGTCACCTGAAAAACCAGTAAAATAAATAAATCAATGTGAAGAGATAAAATTTGCAGGGTAACATATAAAACCAGCTGCAACTTCAGAAAAGCGAGATAAAAGGATAAGGGAAGTGTTGCCAAATCAACCTGTCACTGGCAAGGGCCGTGCAAAATCAGAACTTACAATTATAGGTAGATCTGAGTCTGGTATGGCAGCCAAATCAGACGGTGGAGTAGCAGCACTTTTGCCAGTCGAGGGAGAGGCTTCTTGGTCTTCATCTTGAATTTTATCTGTTGATAATTCTAATTCAATATATGAGCCACCAGGAATTGTATACATACTCAAGGCTTGCAAGCACATCAGCTCCTGCTTAGGAATGCCGCTAATATTGTGATCTAATACTGAAGGGTCTTTGTCAAGGACAAAATTTGGTATAATCACAGGGTTATTTTTACGAAGAGCATGCTCAGTCAAATTGTTAAGATATTTCTGCTGTCGGAGTAAAGCACAAAATTCCTCAGCCTCTATGTCATCCTTAGAGCAAGGTGAGCCATCAGACTCTGCATGGCTAACATCTGTTTCCATTCTGTCCAATTGTGCACCCTACATATAATGCAGATTTCATTAACGAATTATACTGGCCTTCATATTTTCAGAACAGATGTCAATTGTTAGTACAAGTGCACAACAAAGACACCTCAGGACATTTGGTGCCACACTCCACAGATTTTGTCATTGGATCATAAAACATTAAATTAAAAAAACTTGACTAAAATCATCAAATTGTAAAATATAAAAGAAAACTTGTTACAGTAAAAGCATTAAGCATCTACCTCATCTTCTGAAAGATATCCATCTGGTACAAAAAATCCATCTTCACTTTCTCCATCAGATTTTGAACATTCCTCTTGACATTCCTCTTCATCTTTCTCTTCATCTTTCTCACAATCTGAAAGACTTTCACCAGGTTCCTCCTTAAAAATAAAGAACAATGTTAGCATATCAAATACATTTTCATATATTAATAAAATTAGATTCAGAGATTCAAAGCACCTCTTCCCATTCCTCGTCACTGCTAACATCATAATCAAGGTTTGGATCCTTCCTCAAAGGATGGCGTGCTCCAACAACATCACTAGAAATACAAATTTTAACACATAAGCAACCTCGACTAGATATACTGGAACCAGGCATCATACCATACAAGAAATTACTAATAAATAATAATATAAGATCTTAAGCAATTACATGGATTTAAGTTAACCAACCAATAAGGCTTTGAAAGTAGTGACTAAACATTTGCATGTCTAGAAGAGACATACAAACAAACTAGTTGAGTTTGGAGTTTTCCATTTTTTAAGTAAAGACATAGCCTTTAAAAAGTCAATCTGAAATCCATTAATGAAGCAGGGTCTAACCTTTTAGATGGCCAAAACCCATAAAAGGCTGGTCTAGGAGCATTATCAAACTGTAATAATTGTCTTCCTCGATAGTACTTCTTGGCATCAAGATTAGTACTGTCACCATTCAACAAGCACGAATTAAGATCTGGACTACTTTCTCCCAATTGGTCTACATCATTTTCCATGCCCAACTCATAGTCCTGAATTGCAGCTTTACTTTCTGTAAGTTTAAGTTTGTTAACAGCTTCGATCTTGGGATTCTGACGTAAACCCCATCTCTGTCTTCTGTTTGAGTTAATTGATTGTCCTAAAGAGCGCCATGAAGAAAAGTGTAACCTGCAGAATGAGGCATTTTTTAAGATCTAAAACAGTTTGGGATCAAAGAGAAAGGTAAGCCTGTGTTGCTTGGAATACAGTAGGGTACAGGTATTGGATTGTTAGAAAAACGGATGTGTGGGTTTGTTAAAAATATACAAGTAAACCTCTCTTATAAGTATAACCTTTAACAAAAATGCATACAACCAAGCATTGCTCATAAGTTACAACATCATAAATTAAAATATTCAAGGAAACCTCTTTTATACTTAAGCCTCTTTCAGAAAACAGATGTATGGGTTTGTTAAAAAATATAAAAGGAAACATTGTATAAT